AGGTCATGAGTTCAGCACAGGCTGAAAGGACAGCTTTGGCAAGGGGACGGTGTCCTTGCAGTCATCCTGGCAGAAAACTCTCTCTGGCCTTCATCAATACCAGAAACCTTGGCTGGCCGCCAGTCTCCTCTGCTGAGCCATTGCGCCAATAAATACATGTTGGCAGATCAATTAAACCATCTAGGAACTACGTCTGCAAATACAATTTCTCCACCTTGATATAGGCGGACAAGCCCTCGCTAACAGGACCGAGATCCTGTGGTTCTCACTCTCCACTCCCCTGGAAGGTGAGCCCAGGGCGCCGACACCTGCTCTGTGGAATAAGGCCCTGTTGGGTGGGCAGTGGAGGCAGAGCTGGCCCAGGCAGCAGGGGGCAGGGCACAGGGGCAGTTATGATCTGGGTTTAAGCACAGCTCTGCTACTTGCCAGTTGTGTGGGCAAATTCTTCACCTCCCCAAGATTCAGTTTCCTCATCTATAAAATGGAATAATAACAGTCACATTGCCTCAAGGTTTGTTGCTTGGACAAAAAAAAAAAAAAAATAGAGCAAAATGAGTAAAACACCGGGCCCGGGGCACGGAACATGGGTGGTATCGAGAGAAAGTATAATTATTATGACCCCCAAATGAAAGCTACTTGGGACTCCAAGCCTGCTTGTCTGTGTCTGTGGCTCCTCTCCATTTCCTGGGTCTCTCAAAGCACCACTCACCACCCAAGAACTCCGAGACAGGAGAAAAAGTGGGTGTGTCAGCCTTCCTGGCAGCCAGCATGGAGGAGGAGCCGGGAGCCTGAGCCTGGGAGCAATTCCAGAAACTAGTCCAGAGCAGATTCCAAAGGCCTGGCCCACCCCAGGGGCCTAACCTCACAGTGGTTGGGACATTTTCAATGACATTATCCTGTTAGCAACCAAAGCATGCCTGATTCACAGCCGCTGCTGGGGCTGTCTTTATGCAACTAGCTTTTTGAACACCCTGCAGAGCTCTGTGCTGAGCCAAGAGCTTTGAGGGCTGGAGATGAAGTCTGTGGGAGGACAAAAATGATGGGGATAGCAAACATCTCAGGGCCTCACCCAAACTCACAGCTGAAGGAGAGGGTCCCACACTTTACTGTACCTGGTGGTAGAGCAGCCTCTCCTGTCCATTCTCTTCCCTCCTTGCCTACTGCAAATGTCTCCACAAGAGGCTCACTGCACCAGTCTGCCTCAGTGCGAATCCTGGTTTCCCTAGTTACAAGCTGTGTGACCTTGAGCAACTTACTCAAGCTCTCTGTGCCTCAATTTCTTCATTGTAAAATGAAGATGATAATATAGGTATCCGTTCAAAGTTGTTACAAGGATTAAGTGAGTTGGGTTTGTAAAGTGCTTAGAATAAAGCCCAGCACAGATTAAGCACTACGTTAAATATTAGTTTTTAGTGGCGTTATTGCTGTTGTAATTATTTGGGCCCTGGATCCCGTCATCTGGAGACAGCTTGCCCACTTGTCTGACCCCGGTTCTATGCTTCTCAGCTCACTCAGGTGGTTGAGCCCCTGGGCATCCCGCAGCTCTTTGCAGTAAACCTGGAGATGCTGAGTGGTTTCACTCCATGGCAGAGCTGAAGAAACACATCTGCAATAGAAAAATGCACTCCCAGGAGCTCTTGCTCTCAACGAATTCATGCTTCGGAGTTAAATGTGGTTAGTCCTTTCTAAGTCTTGCTTTTACAGTCATAAAACTTCAACAATTGAGAAAATGATATCCATTAACTTATTTCTGTCACATTAGAAGAGAAACACCTATGAAGGCAATTTTGGTTTTAATCCATAGGTGAACCTCAGGACTTGGCCCAGCTCACCCAGTAAATCGACGCAGTGAGCACTAATTGCTGTGTGTCTGCTCCATGCTGGCAACCTGTATCATGCCTATTTTACAAAGGAGAACAATGAGATTGAGAGAGAGGAGTGATCATTGTCCACGGCCTCCTGGTGAGTGCCGAGGTCTGTGCTGTGCCCTGGGCAGAGTTCTGCCCCCATGATCACATGTGGAAGCAACCCCAGAGAGTGGCCCCACCTTTCTGGTCCTGAGCCTGTCTCCAACTGTGGTCTCCCTCATCCCAGTAGGGTCTGAGTTTGGGGACCTGCCATCATTCCACAACCAGTGTTGTCAGAACTCTTCTCAGGTATAGAACCCCGTCTTGGGTTACCTTTCCTGCCTAGAAGCTCCCTGGGGCCAAACCTCCCCAGTGCCCAGGAATCCACTGGTACAAAGGGGTCCCCAACCCCTGGGCCACCGACTAGTACCAGTCTGTCACTTGTTAGGAACCGGGTCGCACAGCAGGAGGTGAGTGGCAGGGTGAGCAAGTGAAGCTTCATCTGTATTTGCAGCCACTCCCTGCCACTAGCATCACCACCTCAGCTCCACCTCAGATCATCAGGCATTAGATTCTCATAGGAGCACTGGTTCCTGGTGCCAAAAAGGTTGAAGACCGCTGCCCTGGTGGGCTTCAGCACAAGTCACCAGGTACAGGCATCACACAGTCCCTTCCCAAACAGCCATCATCAGACCGCACTGCAGCCTATCCTATGGCCCACCCAGTGGTCAGAGCTCGTCTCACTGACCATGGGCCTTTCGAAGCCCAGAAAAGTTGAGCTCCCCATTTCTGCAGTCACACTCTGCCTGAGATAGAGAATATTACTCCCATCTGGACAATAGGCCAGCGCCATAGCAGACAAACCAATCCTGTTGCAGAATGGGAGATGACACAGGCTTGACATTCTGGCCTTCCTTTGACTCCCAGACAGGCATTCCAGCTTCAGCCAACCTGAAAAATCACTGCCTGTGGAGAGGAGGATGGAACCCTCCAAATCTTAGTCTCAAGTTTCTCTGGCCACCTGAAGGATCCAAGAGCTCACAATGCCCCAAACACAACTGTCCCTTCCCACCCAGACCCCCAGCAGTGCACCAAGGAGGCCACCATGACTTCATTGCTCCCGATCCTATCATGTGTGAGGAGCCACTGACTGCAACCTTGTTAGCGCCTTAGCTTTGTACCTGAAAACCAAGCAACAGATAATACCCAAGTGTGAGTCAATACCCAAGAGGAAGCCCACCTTGGGGCCCCAACTGTTGGCTCAGGTAGCCCCCACCGGGTTTCAATATCAGCCTTTAATCCCAGCTACCATATTAGTGGTGCCACCACACAAGATCTCACTGTAGCTATGAAAGAGACCTAATACTGTCCCATTTTACAGATGAGTAAAATGAGTTATAAGGCGTTAGTATGACTCACTGAAGACACAGAGCCACGGAGTGTTGGGCATGAAGCTGGAAATGAGGCCCATCAGACACCAGAGCTTTGGCATACCGAGTCTACCCTTCTAGCACAGTGATCAATTCTGGTTTAAAAACAGTCTTGTTGGTGTTGGTTTTCTCAGCCCTGGGGTTTGCCTGGTCACCGTGTCTCTGAGGGATCCAGACACTCTCCACAAGGCACTGGGAGGACACTAAACTCGCCTTCTCAGGACACACTTATCCGCTCCTCGACTGAACCAGTCAATCAGAGAAAACAGAATGACGTCATGCCATTCAATGGCAATCTGAGTCTGACAACCATGAAAATGAAATATGAGCGAGAGTGTCGCCAATGCTACCAGAGAGTTGAACATACCGGCCACTGTCTATTGGCCTGTCACCCTCGAAAACAGTCAACCCACCCTGTGCTCGAGAGTAAATGTAAATCCTACTTGAGTAAAATCTTGTTCTGGATTTCTTTTCTGGGGTGTTACTCTCAGTTCTTCAACTGAAGGGGGAAGCATGAGAAAAGAGTGGGCTTCAGAGACTGACAGACCTGGGTTAAGCCCATTCTGGCTCTCTGTAGCTCCGCCCTTCAGTTTTCTCATCTCTGGAATGCGGCAATTATATCTCTCCTTTAAAATGAATAAACTGGAATTCTGGCTCTAAGTACCCACCCCTGTGAGCTTCGTCAGGGGTGTGACAGGACATCTGTTTAGATAAGGAATATGTGATTCCTCAAGGTCCCACTCATCGTCTCGGCTTAGGTGGCCACATGTGCCTCTGTCCAGAGACCACCCTGCCTTCCCAAGTGACTCCCTCCTAAAACCAACAACCATTTTTGTTACTATGATTTTTAAGCTGCCTCACTGGATGACTATGTATATACCAAATGAGAGGAGGCCTTAGAGTTGTCAGGGGTCGAACCTAGCAGCCTGTGGACTTGTCTGTCGCCTACAAGGGTGTCTTGTTGGCCCACATGGTGTTCGCAGTAGCTGCCAACTTTAAAACTGGGATAATTCACAAAATCTAGATTTCTGGATCCTCTTGGAAAAATTAGAAAATTCTACAACTTGCAGCACTTATTCCCATGAGACAATGATCAGCTAGAGAGGAGAGGTAGCTGCCCTCTTTGACAGTTCACCAGGAAAAGCTAGAATTTGGGTTCCAGCCCTGAATACAATAGGTGGTCAATGAACAATGGTTATTATTATTATTACTTATCAGTAACTCCAGTGCATTCAAGTACAGAGAATGTACCTTCTACTTGCCACTGCCTTTCTGAGGTGAGCATGAGGCTGGGCACACAGGAGATACCATTTGGCATAACCCTTACATATACTGAAAGATTCACAATTAGTGTCAACACTCGAAGCCCTTACTAGATGCCAGGCACTGTTCTAAGCACGTCACATACATTATTATTTCATTTATTCCTCACAACGACCCCGACCAAGATTACCAACACTGCACCACTTTTGCAGATTGGGAAACTGAGGCACAGCCCAAGATCACTTAGCCAGCTAAGGACAGTTAAGAATAAAACAGAAGAGCATGGCCCCAGAGTCCACGTTCTAATCACATTCTCACATGGGAGGACGGTCCCAAGTGCTGATGGAGGGCAGGGCCTCACCTGCATCCTGCCTCCTTCCCCAGCTCGACTTTGCTAGGCACAGGCAGGCTCTGAAACCCACTTCCTCCCTGCTCCCCACCCCCAACTGTCTGCACTTACGGTCAAGGCCGTTGATGTAGCGCATGGTGACTTCGCAGTGGCCCCACACAGCGCTCACTACTGGGTACAGCTTCTTGCCCTTGAGACCACGGAATGCCACGCCCAGGTACTGGCCGTCCACGACGAAGCTGAGTGTACCCTCGTCCATGTCCAGCACCACGAGCAGTGAGTCCGGGAGCGCGAAGGCCTCCTCGGGCCCCAAGAATGCCGGGTAGGCCACTCCGGGCCGGTTCTTGCCGTCGTGATAGAGGCGACTGCGACCCAGGTCCCAGCCCCACGACTCGGCGTCACTGCCCACTAGCGCTGTGTAGCCCACTGAGTGCAGGGGTGCCCGAGCTGTGGCCACACCCACTACGGCGTGAGTGCCCCGCTGCCGAGCTGGCCAGTGGATCTGCCAGGCGTGCAGGCCGCGGGCATGGCCCACCTTGCCGCGGATACCGTCAGTGCTCTGGGCCACCGGGTGCCGGTGGAAGGTGAGGCGGTCATCATCCTTGACGAAGACATTGAGCGAGCGGTCCTCGGGGTTCCACGCGTGCCGTAGCTGCACAGCCAGCCCGGCCTCCGGCATGTCCAGCAGCTGGTCCAGCCGTGCCGGCCGCCCTAGCTCTGCTCCCCGCAGCTCCCGTTTGGCCGGACGCAGCGCCGGCTCTCGAACCTCCACCGACTTGAGGCTCCCGGAGAGCTTCTGGCCCATGCTTCACTGCCTGGAGGGGGCCACCGCTGCAGGCCACCGCTACCTTGTGGGAGCTGCCACTCCCCGCAGCCACGGATGGACCAGGAGCCTAGGAACCAGGCTTCCAGATGGTGCACCTCCACAGCCTCTACTGGGCTGGGGCAGGGGCCCAAGCTCCTGGAAGGAAGCAAAGGGCATGGGTTATAACAGCGGCATTTACAGCCATTTATGCCCATGCTTTGGCTGAGCCCTTTGCATGCATTAATAATAATGATTAATTAATAAAATATCTGGCACTTAGTACTTGCTGTACGCCAGATACTGTTCGAAACGATTTACATTTATTAGCACATTTAATCCCTTAGACTTCCCTATAAGACATATACATTATTATCCCCACTTTATAGATGAGAAAACTAAAAAGCAGAGAGAAGATTAGTAATTAAAGTCCCACAGCTCATAAGGGGCTGAGCCGAAATTCAAACCAAGGTCATCTGGCTTCAGAGTCTGTGTTCTTCTGTACGTAGAGCAATCCTAGGCAACTTTATTTTAGAAATATGAACTGAACCCAGAGAAGTTAAATGACTTGCCCAAGATCACTGAACCTGGAGAAGAATCCAAGTGCATTTGATCCCAGGGGACAAATTCTGTGTCAAGGCTGGGTGGATACAGTTTTCCAAGACATAGGGGCTGAAGACACATAAGGTGTGGCCCATTGTTTCCCCTCCCTGGCTGCCCTGGGGAGCTTAAATAGAATCTAAAGAGCAGTCAGGGTTGAGAAGCAAGGCACAGAGTGAGGATCCAGCAAAGTCACCCAGGGACATGGACACCACCAACACAACTAACTATCTGAGGCAACTATCTGAGGATGCGATGGGGTCTCCACGGGAAGGTGAGCAAGAAGCAAGGGGAAAAGGGAGCTAGCGTTCAGGCTCTAGAACCAAACAGAACTGCATCCAAACTCCTCCCCCCATCTCTTAGCTGTGTGTCCACAGGAAGTTCTCTCAGCCTCTCCAAGACTCTAGTTTCCTTATCTGTAAAATGGGGATAAAATGCCTCCCTCCAGGTGACGTAGGAATCAGAGACAATAATAATGAAAGGCTGGCCTGAGACTGCAGAAAGGTTTTCCTCTCTGGCTCTATTCCCTAGGTATCCTAAATGAACCCCTTCCCATTGGAGGGGCAAGCTCTTTCTTTGGGCATATAAACACCGATAACAACATTAATTCTGCCATCATCCAACAGGAGACCAACCAGAAGCCAGGGTGCTTGGATGGGCCCTGGGGCGGGCAGTGATGGAGAGCTGAGCCCTGCAGCACATCCGGAGCAGAGGCAGGTGCCTTCCCCACCCCTGGCCTGAGTACTGCTGGGCTCAGAAAGACTTGCCCTGAGACAGGACAGGAGACTGGCAATTTTCATTTCCTGCTGTGTGGCCATGACCTCCCACCCAAACAGCGGCAAACGTCCAACCAAAGTGCAGGTAGAGAGGAAAAGAACTCTGCTGCCACACAGCACAGGCAGGAATACTGTGGATTTCTTTGTTAACCCTCCTACTTTATTCTTACCTCCCATTGTCTTTCCTTCCTATGTCAGACCCCAGCTCCAGCTCATGCTAACTCTATCTAGATAGCTCTGGCTAATGTTTAATCTGGAGGAATACCAGAACACATAAGCAGAATAAAGTTACATCTTTTCATATCCCAAATCACCCAAAATAAAGGAGAAAGAGAAAAAGAAATGCAAATTCTGTCTTCGGCAAAACTAGAACACATTTGTAACCCGAACCACAACTAATCAGGAGAGGCTGCCAAAAACAGTAAAGGGCTGCCAAAAGCAGTGACGATCAAACGGGGTGTGAGAAAGCACCTACAGAAGACACCTGTGGCTGTAGATCTGAGATATAGCCGGCAGATTTCTCTTAGCTGGCACTCACTGAAGGAAAAACCCTATGATTCCTAATCAGGAACAATGGGAACAGGGTACGTGGTCCGGCAGTGGGAGCTACCTCTGGGATATGCACATGGACACAAGGCAACCATCTGAGGGTGAGGTGGGCAAGTCATGGGAAGGTAAGTGGGAGTCAGGGGGATAGAGGAGGACAGGGCTAAGAAAACCACAGGCCTGCCATCTTCACAGGAAGCAGCGTGCTGGTAAAGCAGAAGCGGGAGAAGAAGGGCCTGGACTGGGGGAAGCCTTTAGCTGCAGATCTCTGCTGTCTGAGTAGAAGCTAAAAGTTACCAGGAACCCGAGAGCCATTCTAAAACACTTCCTGGAACCTCCTTCTGCATTCATTCCTTGCAAATGCTGATCTGAGAAGGTTCACCTCTTTCAAAAAGGCACCAGCACACAATATATAGTCAGCGATGCTAGAGGAGAAATAAAGGAAGAAGAAAAAAAAATATGGCAAATCAAGAAAATTTACCTGCAAAAAAAGCGGTCACAAAGCAGATAAAAATTGTGACCAAATTTGTAAACTAATTTTGTAATCATTTCTTTCAGGAGGGAGACAACTAGTACAGGTTAAAAAAAAAAAAAAGACTAATACATTTAGTTATAAAGGCTCCAGAAAAACCAATAATAAAATACACACCTTCCAACTGTCAGAAGGAATACAGCACAAGATAAAACAGACCATACCATGAAAAAGAAGCAATAGAAGCAAAAAGACAAAGACAAAATATGACAGGAAAACTAACACCAAAATACTAGCTATGTTAATGAATGGCCGCAGAAAACTACTAAAAAGAAAAGATTCTAAGACTGGGGAACCGGACAAAAATCCCCAACAGTGTGCTTCCCGTAAGAGATAATCCCCAAAGCAAAGTAACATGATAATTTTGAAAAATAAAAGAAGGGCAAATATATGCCTGGTAAGTGCTACTTCAGACTAAACAGGTATTATAATCTTAACATTAGGCAAGTAAAGTTAAATTCAGGGCAAACAATTTTAAATGAGACAAGAACACTTTACGATAATTAAGAATATGATCCGCAATTGAAGATCTAACAGACCAAATAACAGCACCAAACTTCAGAGCAAAAGCTTCAAGAAACACAAGGAAGGACAGGCAGATGCACAATAAAGGCAAGTGATTTTAATTCACTTCTTTTAGCTCATGACAGATCGATGGACAAAATTAGGTAAACACATAGAAAAAAACAAAATTGCATAATAAGAGTCTTAATTGATGCATACTTTTTAAAAAATTCCCCAATATTAGGCCACAAATAAAACCTTACCCCAAAAAGCAGAATTAATACAGAATCTGATAACATAGGAAAAAAACCCCTAGAAATTAATCATAAAATGTGGATCACAAAACCCTACCACTTGGATGTTTTAAAAACGTCTCTTTTAAACAACTCATATCGAAAAAGAGATCTATATAAAAACTGCAGACTATCTAGAAAATAAAAATAACGAAAAAACATTTCATGTGTTGGAACCTGTGGAGTCCCACTAAAGTGGAGTTTGGAAGAAATCATGACTGTTGTACTTATACTAGTAAATAAAAATGAATGAAAATACACAAATTAAGCATAATAAAATAGAAAAATAATAGGCCTAATCAAAAAATCTGAGAGCTGGTTCTTTGGGGAAAAAATACCACCAAAACAACAACAATGAAAACAGTAAAACATATAAACCATAATTCAATCATATATATTATATTTTCTATTATATTGTTATTATACTATTATCTATTATATTACTCTATCATGTTGATAGTATGTACCCTTGATAGGATGTAATGAAATAATACATTATTTCTGTGGTCTTTCTCCCCCAAACCCATAACTCCAGTCCAATCATGTGAAAAACATGGGACAAATTTCAACAAAATACCTGACCAGTACTCCTCCAATCTGCCGAGGCCATTAATGACAAGTCTGAGAAACTGTCACAGCCAAGAGGAGCCTAAGGAGACAAAACTACTAAATGTAATGTGGTACCCTGGATGGGATCCTGGAACAGGAAAAGGACATTAGGCAAAAACTAAGGAAATCTGAATGAAGTATGGCTTTTAGTTAATAACAATAATCAATATTAGTTCATTAGATGTGATAAATGTACCATACTAACGTAAGATGTTGATAATAGGGGAAACGGGGTGTGAGCATAAGGAACTCTGTACCATCTGCTTAGTTTTTCTATAAGTCTAAAATTATTCTAAAAAATAAAGTCTATTAATTAAAAAACAATAAAACAATTTTAAAATTATAAAACATAGACAAAATATACAAAAACTAAAAGTCACCTTGTATCTCATGAACCAGATTTAAACATTGTTAGCATTTGGATGTATTTCATTTTTTTTGTTTGTTTGTTTTGTCTATAAAATATTAGTGAATTTTCTTTTTTAATATTGGTGTCATGGGCCTTTATTCAAGTTATCTCACCTAAAATTTAATAATTAACATGTTCACATATTACTAAATATACTTTAAATGCATGACTTCAATGACTAAATAAAAAACAATAAAACATAAAAGTCATTTAATCTAATCATTTCAAAGAAAGGGGCAGAAGACACAAATATGTAAAATAAGAAATAAAAACGAGAAATAACCAAATGGCATAGCAAGACACTCATACAAGAAGTTAGACTTGTTTGTTGTTTTAATATGAGGAGATACATGCAACACAAATAATAAATATGACAAACTACTACAAATGAGTAAGACAAGACCAACCCAAATACGAAATGAGAAAGGATAGAACAAATAGTTCACGGAAAAAGAAAAACAAACAACAACTTTGCAAAGATGCTCTATCTACTAAATGCATAATAAAAGAGAAATAAGTCAGAACTGCTATTTTGGTTTATCACGAAATGTCATTTTGGTGTATGAGATTAGTGAAGATCAAAGAGTTGGAGAAGCTCATATACTGCAGAACCAAAGGTAAAATGGTGTAACCTCAATGGGTGGCAAATTAGCACTATCTCTCAGAGTTGCAAATGCACATACCCTTAGACCCAACAAGTCGACTTCTAGTGTTTATTCAGATACACTCTCAAATGTGCAAAACGACATATGTATGTGTACATATGTATATCAGTAATATGTATCATATATTTATTATATAATATATAATATGTAAAACATGTATATATGTTATTATATATGTTGTACATATATAGGTATGCGGCATTGTTTGTCATAGCAAAATATTGG